GAGATCCAGTTCTCTGCGCCAGTGCCAGCTCCAAGCTCTAATTATAGATTTGCTCGTTTTATAAGCCCACTGCTGTAGCGACTGAAGTCCGCACGAAAAGGGAGGATCCCCCAAAAGGGTCCGCAATGTCTTTGGGGTCTCAGGATGTCCTCGGGGGGCCGTGGCGCACGAAAAACACACTGGACTCGCGCACATCATGCCACAGGCCCTCGTGACTTACGCAGCAGTCGCGCCCCCGAGGCAACAATCCCTCGTAACGTACGCCCTCCCCAGACCAGAGTCCCTCGTATGCTACGCCATGCTCGCGCTCCCCGCGCCACAACCCCTTCTCGAGCCTCGATCACCGCGCCTCGAGCCTCGAGCCACCAGAGCCTGGATCCCCGTGCCTCGAGCCTCGATCCTCGAGATCACTGCGGGTTCGCGCTCTCGGGGCCGCAATCCCGTGTACACTACGCCAGACGCGAGCTATCCCATAAGGCGCGGAAGCCCCCTGCACATCAGAGCAGACGCACACGGGCTCCCCAGGCCACAGATCCCTCAACTAGAACGCTGGCAAGGCGCTCTCGATGGCACAGATTCGAGATCTCCAGGGCACTCTCGAGGACACAGACTCTCGATTTCGAGGACACAGGTTCGCGATCTCGAGGGGCACTCTCGAGGACACAGACTCGCGATGTTGAGGACACAGGCTCTCGAGGGCACTCTCCAGGACCAGGCACTCCCGAGTACATTGCTGTGGTCTCGCGCTCTCCAGATCACACTCCGTGGTGAGCGACGCCAGATTCGCGATCCGCTGACAACAACCACTAGACCACGAGAGCATCATGGTCGCGCGCTACATGCCACAACCCATTGTAGATCACAACGGGTCCGCCCCCCCGAGGCCACACTCTCCTGTGACTTGTGACAGGCTTGCGTCCCCAACCCACGACACCTCGTAGACCACAACGCCCTGGCGCTCCCGAGGCTAGATCCCCTACACGCCAGGCCACACCCGCGCGCCCCGAGACGCAACTCCTGGTGAACCGCACCAGGCCCGCACTCCCGAGGCCACAAATCCCTGGCAAGCCAGAGTACGTTTGCGAACTCGAGCCCTCTGCCCCGCTTCCAAGTCTTGGCGCTCCCGAGGCCACGGTCCTGTTATGTGCACTGCGCCGTACACGCGCTCCCCAAAGCCGCAGTCCCTGGTACATCACCCCAGGGGTCGCGCTCCCGAGGTCCCACACGTCCTTGCAGGTCGCGGCGAGACTGCGCACTCGAGCCAGCAGCCCCTTGCAAAGTACACTGCGCTGAAGTCGGGCCTGTCCTCCTACAGGGGAATTTTGGACGAAAAATAAAAAAAAGTCAACAAATGCCCCAACATTGTTGTTTTTGGGTTTAAAAAATGGTCCCAATATCATGCTTTGGGTTATTTTTGACTATTCCTCCTGTAGAGGGACACGCCCGACTTAACACACACTACGCGCTGGCGCTCCCAAAGCCGCGCACCCACCCCACGGAGCCCGCCCCAGAGCGCAACGGACCCCTCTCCAGAGCAGAGCGGCTGCGGGGCTTCGGTGCTGGGATCCGCGTGCAAGAGGCGTGCTTCCCGGAGCTTGCTGGGCGTTCGGCTCGGGGCTCGTGGCCAAGTTGGGCGCCCGAGTTATCCGGGGTAACTCGGGTCCGGGGTAACTCGGGTTTGGATTCCCGAAAAAGGAACCCGAGTTATCCCTGACCCGAGTTACCCCTGATGATTCGGGGCTCTGGACGCCCGAGTTATCCGGGGTAACTCGGGTCCGGGGTAACTCGGGTTTGGATTCCCGAAAAACGAACCCGAGTTAGCCCTGACCCGAGTTACCCCTGATGATTCGGGGCTCTGGACGCCCGAGTATCCGGGGTAACTCGGGTCCGGGGTAAGTCGGGTTGGATTCCCGAAAAAGGAACCCGAGTTAGCCCTGACCCGAGTTACCCCCGATGATTCGGGGCTCTGGACGCCCTATCCGAACTCGGGTCCGGGGTAACCGGAACCCGAGTTATCCCTGACCCGAGTTACCTCTGGGTTAACTCGGATTTCGGATTCCCGAAAAACGAACCCGAGTTATCCCTGACCCGAGTTACCCCTGATGATTCGGGGCTCTGGACGCCCGAGTTATCCGGGGTAACTCGGGTCCGGGGTAACTCGGGTTTGGATTCCCGAAAAAGGAACCCGAGTTAGCCCTGACCCGAGTTACCCCGATGATTCGGGGCTCTGGACGCCCGAGTTATCCGGGGTAACTCGGGTCCGGGGTAACTCGGGTTCGGATTCCCGAAAAAACGAACCCGAGTTATCCCTGACCCGAGTTACCCCTGATGATTCGGGGCTCTGGACGCCCGAGTTATCCGGGGTAACTCGGGTCCGGGGTAACTCGGGTTCGGATTCCCGAAAAAGGAACCCGAGTTACCCCTGACCCGAGTTACCCCTGATGATTCGGGGCTCTGGACGCCCGAGTTATCCGGGGTAACTCGGGTCCGGGGTAACTCGGGTTCGGATTCCCGAAAAAAGGAACCCGAGTTATCCCTGAACCGAGTTACCCCTGATGATTCGGGGCTCTGAACGATGTCCATGGACGCGAAGATGGGCATCAGAGCGCCGGCGTGGGGGTCCGTGCTGGAGAGCCTCGCTCGCGGTCAACCTGCGCGACGTTGTGCAGGAGGAGGAGGAGGAGGAGGAGGAGGCGGATGATGAGGAGGAGGAGGAGGAGGAGGCGGAGGAGGAGGAGGAGGAGGAGGGGGAGGAGGGGGAGGGGGAGAAGGAGGAGGGGGAGGGTGAGAAGGGCTCACCTCTTTGGGGGCGCCATCCTTCGCTTCCGCCGCCTGCCGCCGGCCTGGCCGCCGGCTTCCGCGGGACTCCGCCGGCGGAGGCGGCCTCTCGTCTTGCTCTGCCGCCGACCCTCCGCCGCCCCTAACCGCCGCTGCCCGACGAGGGAGAGGTGGCACCTCCTTGGATCCTCGAGGGCGAAGGATTGCAACAAAAACCGAAAGATTGCAAAAAAAACGGATTGCAAAACAAAAAAACCCAGGATTGCAAAAAAAACAGGATTGCAACACAAACCCGAAGGACTGCAAAAAAAACACAAGGATTGCAATCCCGGTTTTTTTTTGCAATCCTGGTTTTTTTTGCAGGCCTTCTCTGGAACGTCTCATGTGTGCGGGAGGCATGCTCCCGCAGTTCCCTGGGGGTTCGGCTCGGGGCTCGTGGCGCGCTCCCGAAGCCTCAAACCCTCGTGCGCTACAGGTCAAGCCTCCGTCCGAGGCACACGCGTGCCACCAATCAGCCAGCCAAGAACCCAAATCAACTGCCGATGATAGCCTTAGACCACAAACTCATCAACCGAGCTGCCAGCCAGTCAACCGACGACAAGAAACCCGACCAGCCTAGCAACCAAACGTGGCAACCCAAGCAATTTGAGGGGGTGGGGGAGGGGGGCGGCTGCAGTGGGCGCAGCCCATCATATACGTGTATGTATATATTCAAATACACATATACAAAGAGTAAGCGATAGAGAGAGAGAGGGAAAGACAGATAGAGAGAGAGAGAGACACACACACAACATAAAGACAAAAACAGAGAGACAGAAAGAGAGAGAGAGAGAGAGGCATAGACAGAGGGAGACAACTATGAAAAAGGGAGAGGGATATGTGTATATATATGTGTATATCAATATATATATATATATATATATATAGAGAGAGAGAGAGAGAGAGAGAGAACAACACAACAAAACACGAGAGGGGGAGATGGGAGACAGGGGGGACGAGGACGAGGTGGACGTAGACGGGGAGAATAACGAGGAGGGGAAGGACTGGAAAGAGGGAGATGACCGGGAGACAGAGGAGGCGGAGGAGGAGGTGGTGGAACGTTAGTAGGCGGAGGAAAGATGAGAGATGTGCGGGGAATGACGGGGAGGTGAAGGAGAGGAGGAAGTAAAGAGGAGGAGGAGGAGGAGGAGGAGGAGGAGGAGCAACAACATAAACATGCTCATACTGGGTGCAGACTAAACCATAGCTAAAGGCTCGTCCTCGTAGTAAGCGCAGATGGGGCTCTCGACTCCCAGACGCCAGTCGCCAATGAGAACGGCGGAAACACGCGTTCACACCCGTCCGCACAAAAAAAAAAACGTCGCGCAGAACGCAAGAGGTTGAGGATGATGAGGCGGAGGGGGGAGCAGAAGGAAGAAAGGAGGAGGAGGCGGAGGCGGAGGAGGAGAGGAGGAGGAGGAGGAGCGGAGGGAGAGGAGGAGAAAGAGGAGGAGGAGGAGGAGGAGGAGGAGGAGGAGAAGCAACGTCGACGATCGAATATGGAGGTCTTTTGCTTTGAGGCAGGCCTCTCTACAGGCCTCCGTCCAGAAACCTCTGGGGACTTCGGCAGGAAGGGAAATAGACAGGGGTCAGGGGGGGAGGTGTGCTGAGGGGAGGGGGGAAGGGGGGAATACGAGGGAGCAAGATAATGAGGACGCAGAGGACGAAGACGACAAGCGATACGAGGACGAAGAGGAGGAGGCGGAGGAGACGCAACAGGGAGGGGCAGGAGCAGGACAAGGAAGAGGCGGAAGATCAGGAGCAACAGGAGGAGCGCTTGGAGCAGGAGGTAGCAGCAAGAACAGTCCTCGCCGTGCCCTCGGAAAGTCCAGGGGTAGGAGGAGAAGGGGCAGCAGGAACATCATCCACAGGAGGAGGAGCAGGAGAAGGCAGGAGCAACAACATAGGGAGGGCGACTAGTACAAGAAGTCGAGGAACCGCAAGGGATAGATGAGGACATTCGTGTGCTCCCTCGCTGTCCATGTGTGCCGCTGCTGGCGGAATCGCACGGGATTGGTCCAGGGCACCAAGACTGTCCTGCACAGGGAAGCTCTGTCTACTGGGACGGGTACTCCCGCCTTCAAGTGCACCGCCGAAAACAGGTCTGCAGTTAATGATGGCCCTTCGCGCTGTGGTGAAAAGGAACCTCGACCTTCAAAGCACTGATGCGCAGCATGTCTGATTCATTTCGCCATGCACGCCATAAAGCCACTCGTGAGCTCCTCCCTGTCCATGTTCTTGCCGATGAAGATCATCTTGCATCTCCTCTCCTCGTCTGGGCCCCACTCGCCCTCCTGCGAGTTCGCGAAGAGCATGTGGATAGCCTGGAACACGAATTTCTCCTTCATGCCCTTCACCGCCAGCACGCCCTTGGAGCGGAACAGGTCAACGCCCTTCTCCTTGAGCAGCCACGAGATCCACTGGTTCAGCTTCTGCTGAACCACCTCGCCAGGGACGTCGATGCCGACGGACGAGACGCGGTTATCGTGCTGGTGGTCGTGGCTGTCCTCCAAGAACGCGTCGTCCATCTCGATGATCTTGTCAAGGGAGAAGCCGCGGATGCCCAGGATGAACTCCATCTCCACCTCGCTGTTCGTGACCCGCTTGATGGGCACCGTCTTGTTGATGGCGCGGATCCGCGCCTCCACCTCCGCCAGCTGCTCCTCGCCGTCCACCAGGTCGCACTTGTTCAGCAGGATGCGGTCCGCGAACGCGATCTGCTCCACGGCCTCGTTCTCCTCGGCGGCACGCAGGAGGCAGCAGGCCGAGCCCGAGCGGTCTCCCAAGAAGGCACACCGCTGGAAGCACTCTCCCTGCACACTACACGGAGTCTGTGTGGATGCCTCTCTCAGATGGAGCCGGCCCCTTCTGAGAGGGCCTTCGCTTTCTTAGAACACCCCCCCGCTCGAACTGCCCCCATTGTGCGCGCCGCCAATCTCCACACCCTCGGGCTTCTCGTCGTCGAGGTGCTGGATGATGTGCGCTGCATCTACGAGCGTCAGGATGCCGTCCAAGCGCATGTGCTGCTGCACGTAGTCGTCCGCGAAGAAGGTCTGCGCTACCGGCGCGGGGTCCGCCAAGCCCGTGGTTTCGATCAGCACTCCTGGCGGGGGGGGGGCCAGAGCAGCACATGAAGATGTCATGAGCTTCAAAGGTCCGCGGGCCAGCGCGACACCCCGTCACCGTACACGCGCTGGGGATGGATGCAGGGGAAGTGGTCTGACGCCGAGAAAGACAGAGAAACCATCCTCTTGCCCCCGAGCTCCGTCGAGGACCTTTCCAGACTTCTGCGAATTCTTGATGAGCTTCTTGAGGCCCGCGATGAGGTCACCGCGCACGGTGCAGCAGATGCACCCGTTGTTCATCTCGACAATGTTCTCCTCGGAGGCCAGGGAACCGGCCTTCACCAGCGAGTCGTCGATGCCCACCTCTCCGAACTCGTTCTCGATCACTGCTATGCGCTTGCCGTGATTCGCCTGCAGGATGTGGTTCAGCAGCGTCGTCTTGCCGCTCCCGAGGAAGCCAGTGAGGACCGAGACGGGAGTGCAGAACCCTTACCCCCTCCTCAACCCTCCTCGTCCCCTGTTCTGGGGCAACTCATGGGAGCTCCCATGCCACCCCGTTGGATCTCACGAATCGACGTCAACCGACGCTGAATCGACACGAATCGATGGTATCAACGCTAAATCGAAACTATCTCATCGACTACCAGACGCTAATCGACGCTAGTGCGAATCTCAGGACAGAACCATGAGTGCACACAAGCCTCCAAGGATTTGCGACCGAATGCCCTGGAGCCTGTTTTTGATTATTCGCGATAACGGGCGTGATCGGGGAAGGGGGGCCCGATCACATCACGGCGGGGGGTCGCCCGAAACCTGAGGAAATCTTCCAAAAATCCGCAAGGCATCTTTGCAAATGGGAGCAAACCGGCGTGGCGTGGTTGGAGGGGGGGGAGGCGGGAGGAGAGGGCCGATGACGGCGGTTATTGCCCATTTCATTATTTTGGGTTACTTCTTTCTTTGTTAAAAATACTACACCAGAGAAACACCCAATGAGTTGATGATTCTCGCTGAGGAGATCGACCAGGAACCCAGGAGCCCCGGAACCCAGAACCCACCTAAAGCGGCCCGGAACCAAGAACCGGGAACCTGGGAACCCGGGAACCCAGCCTACCACCAAAGTCGGCGGGAAACTTTCGCCAACTCTTTCAACCTCCGCTATAGGACCCCTTCAGTGCAAGCACTGATTGGGGAACAGGCGCCTGGGGTTTAACCCCAGGCGCCTGTTCCCCAATCGTACCCGATCACATACATGAGCGATACATTGAGCATACATGGGCCATTCAGCCCCCTTTGAAGACCCCCTGTTGCAGACCCCCTCGTTCACCCTCCAAGATTAGGTCGGGCCTGTCCCCCCACAGGCGGATCTTGGGCGAAAACTAAGAAATGCCCCAAACATACGCCCAAATAGCAAAACAAGATCGTCCCCAGACTATTGTTTGACTATTTCTGACTACTCCCCCTGTAGAGGGACAGGCCCGACCCAAGCCTGGGGCCCCAGGGCGGAAACCAACCCCCGGCGCCACGGAAACCGCGCGGCGAGGAGCGCGCTCGGCCGCGCCCCTGAGCGGGGCCGATCCCCCCCCGGGCCGGCCTCTGGCCCCCGAAGAGAAATGGGGCCCTGGGGCACACGGATGCACAGGCACAGATCACAGGACTCCCCATACTCAGATTTGCTTTGGGATGTTCGTCTGCCCCCCACCTCCCATAACTTCCCCTGTTCTCCCGGGGAATCGACGATTCCAGGCGGGATGATGGCGGAGGAGGAGGAGGAGGAGGAGGAGGAGGAGGAGGAGGAGGAGGAGGAGGAGGAGGAGGAGGAGGAGGAGGAGGAGGAGGAGGTATGATTTCCCCCCCGAGAAAAGGCGGGCCCCCGGAGGCGCCGGAAAGACGCAGGCGCGCGCGACACGGCGACCGCGTCTCGATGCTTCCACGCCGCCCCCGGAGCGTCGAGGGAGCGGGCCCCTCGGAAGCGTACAGTCGGGGCGCTGACCTAAGGAACCCTAAATAAGGAACGAGGTCCCTTTTTCTTCATAAGTTAAACTTCGATTCCCCATGGGAAACCTCAAGAAAACCCAAGGCAAACTGCGAAGCAATCGAGGAACACCGAGCCCCTCCCCAACGAAAAGGGTTCCTTCTTCAGCGCCACGACTGTGCCCCGTCAGAAATCCGACGCTCCCCCCCGAAAAAAGGGGAACGGCGGGATTTGGGGGCAGTTTTCGGCCTCCGGAGGCCCTCGCCGGGCCTCGGGAGCGTCAAAAGACGGCCCAGGACGAGGTACAGGCCCTAGGGAAATGGTTTGGACCTCTGCAGGGCCCACGCATCGAAAAAATTGAAGCAGCCGGAAGTCTGGGCCCAGTGCGACTGCTCTGGTGTCCGAGCGCGTCCTGGCAAGGGCGGCACAGAGGCCGAGGCCCGCCGCGGCGGCGACGAGGCTCTAGCTGTTCCCCGAGGAGGCGCGAAAAAAAAAGGCGACAGGACATGCAAGAGCCCTGTTTCTCATCCTCCAACTTCCCCCGCGGTCCACAGTTCGATGTGTTGGATGCTTGGCTGGGTCACGTCATCACACCCACCTCCCTGCCCCCTCCTCTTCGTCGTCGTGACGAGTAGGCTGGAGGACTTGAAAAACAGAGATTTCGTCGTAGCGCGCAGCCGCTGCCTCAGAAAGCCCATTTCTGCAGTCCCTGAGCATTCAGGGTCTCCTGAAGCAGAAGCGCGGCAGCCAGGACGGACGGGGTGGCTTTGCTGAGGTTCGCGGCGCATCCATGGGGAACTCGCCCGACGACCTTGTGCTACGCGTGCCAGCTGTCACCTCACAGCTCAGCTCGAAGCATGCCATCGACATCCGCGAGCTGCAGGACACCACCTTCCGCGTCTAGACAAGCTAAGCGCGTTCCACTACTCGCAGAAGTGACTGCTCGCAAATGACCTGGATTCGCCGCGGGGGGGTCACGATCAACTACATCAAGGCAAACATGTGTTTGACGGACGTTTGCGAGTAGGTACTTCGTTCGCGAATGCTGTAACGCGCTCGGTGAGCGTCATTCTTACGCCGATGAAGGCCATCAGCGGAGTAGGCCGGGAAGTCTGCAACAGCGCAATTCACCGAGGAATCCCGCGCAGCCGCCGCGGGAAAGAAGCGGCGCCGACTGGCCAGCCGTGCCGAGGCCGCTGGACGTTCAGTGCAGTCTGGATCAGACGTCATGGTGCAATAGGAGCTCGACCACAAGAAACTTCCCACAAGAAACCCGACCCTGAGACCCCAGTGCATCCATCGGTTGTTGGTGTGGGAACGTCGCGCTCTCCATCGCAAGACCACCAAAACCCAAGACACCCAGGGCACCCTGGAGGCAAGCCGCGTGTTTCTTGGCATGGGTTCCCGCTGAAGTCGACTCAGCCATACACGTCGTTCATTTCTAATCGTGCTCATTTCTAATTGTGCTCGTTTCTAATTGTTCCTGGCCCCCTAATGGCCAGGAAGAGGCCCAGGATAGCACAATTAGGAATGAAAGGATCTTGGCCCCCCAGAACTCAAAGAACTTTCGAATAATAGTAAATGAACAATGTGTACGTGTGCATGCGGCCGCACAGTCGCCAACACCACAACCACCACGGAAGACTGCGGGCGCCGCCGTCCCTGGAACGGAGCAGCCTCACACCGTCAGCACGTAGCTGCAGGATGGGCAGATCCAACTCACGCAGCAGCGACGAGTCTTGCCAACACTTTCGCCGCACTGCAGGCTCTCCACCCATCAGCTCTGAGCTCTCCGGCCGCAGGAGCTCAAGAAGCGGAAGCACATGTCCAGGCCCCTGCTGCAGCTGCCGCACGCTGGAGGCAGCCGGTGGCAGCCTCACCCCTTGGCCGCTGCCCTGGGCGCAGCGCCAAGCGCCTCAGCCCCCGCCGCTCAGACAGCAAGCGAGCCGCTCCCGCAGATGGAGACTCAGCCGTCTCCCGCTGCTGCTGCTGCTGCTGCGGCTGCTGCTGCTGCTGCCCCCGCGGCCGCAACCGCCCCCGCCGCGGGTCTACCGCCGCCAATGAAAAAAGCCACCTGCTGTGGCGCCTGGCACGCTAGAGTATGAGGCAGCGTTCAGGATCGACTCGCACGAAGCCCTGCTCGACGTGTCCGCCGAGGAGCTTGCAGCCTTCAGATCCGGCCAGGCTGGTTTCCAGCCCGGCGACGTAGCCGCCATGAGCTCACAGCCAGCTCCTGGCGCTGCTGCCGCCGCGGAAGGTACGACACCCCCGTGGCCTACGCCAGTAGAGTCGACTGGCCGGAAGCATCCAGAGCCACGCAAGTGGCAAGAACGCGATGGCAACCTTCCTGGTCAAGTTGGACTCGCGGCGGCACTGCGACGCGCAGCAGAGGCGCCACCAGATGGAGAGAGGGAACCGAGGTGCCAGATGCTCACATCTGCCGAAGACGATCTACCAGATGGACCTGGCTTTCTATCTCAGAAACTGTGCTGGAGCGTGAGTTTTTCATTGCAGGACTCGTCTCAGGGCAACCCAAGACAACACCATTCGGGCACTCAACTGAATACCCTGCATACGTTCACTGGTCCTTCCCAAGGTTGTAATGCCAATCCCCTCCCCGACACCTCTCACTTCGTCAAGTGCCTAACGGGACAATCATGGCAGTTTTCCCACGGTCTCACCTGGTCTCACGGCCCATCTCGGATGCACGTTCGCCGAGCACCGCGTCTTCCTGGCAGGCGCCCTGGAAACCTGTTTCCCCCGTGTTGCCTAGCCCACTGTTATACAGGCCGAAGCTGATGAGTTTCGCAGTACTGGATGTTCTTGATGGATTTACCTGAAGGCCACGTTCAGCAGCACCGATCGGTTCGCTGCTAAGACATTGCCGCGCCCTCTACGCTTCTTCCCGCTTGCTGATGGTGGCCATTCGTCACGGCACCCTCCATTTGATTGTGAGTGTTGGGCAGAGCGCCTCACAATGCTGCAGGCAAGGCCGCCAATGCTGACTGGTGGGCTCCTTACTCCTCTCGCCTCCGCCTGGACCCCGACATTCCGGAGCTGCACCTCCTGGGCGCCAAGGCCCGTGTGGGATCCAGCGTCTCCGAGGCCATCGGCAACGTGCCTCACGGGGCTCAGGACTATCATCCGTATCATCATCATCATCATCATCATCATCATCATCATCATCATCATCATCATCATCATCATCATCATCATCATCATCATCCTCATCCTCATCCTCATCCTCATCCTCATCATCATCATCATCATCATCATCATCATCATCATCATCACCACCACCATCATCATCATCATCATCATAATCATCATCACCAGCATCATCATCAGCTTCAGCATCATCTTCATCGTCACCAGCATCATCATACTCGTCATCACCATCCTCGTCATCATAATCACCATCATCATCACCATCAGCATCACCACCATCACCATCACATGCACCATCATCATCATCATCATCACCATCATCATCATCAACATCATCATCATCATCATCATCAGCATCATCATCAGCATTATCATAGCCATCACCGTCACCAGCGTCACCAACATCAACATCATCATCATCATCATCATCATCATCATCATCATCATCATCATCATCATCATCCCTCCTCCTTCCGCCTCCTCCTGTTCCCTTCCCCCGCCGGCCCTCCCAGAGGCAACTGGCGAGGACCGACACAGGCACCTTTTTGTCGGCGTCAGCCGACATGCCGCCCGCGCCGCTGGCCTCTACCTTCGCCTTCTTCGCCTGATGATGAGGAGGAGGAGGAAGAAGAAGAAGAAGAAGGGGAAGAGAAGGAGGAGGAGGGATGCAAGTACAGCCGAGACGCTGGAAGAAGGACCGCTTGAGGTTCGGAAAGGGGCTCGTTGTCCCTGAGGTCACGCCGTGATTGTTCCTCTAGCCCTCCTCGCGCACCTTGGCGCTACTGGGGCCAAACAGGGCTTCGTTCCTTCCTTAGCGGCCCTTCTGGTAACACCTCGAGCGTGGGGGGGAGGAGGAGGAAGAGGAGGAGGGGAAGGAGGGGCGTGGGAAGAGGAGGAGGAAGAGGAAGAGGAGGAGAGGAAGGAGGAAGAGGAGGAGGAGGAAGAGGAGGAGGAGGAAGAGGAGGGGAAGGGAGGAGGGAAGGAGGGAGGGCGGGGCGTCTTCCAGGGACGGTGCTTGTGTGTTCTGTGTGCCGTATTGATGCCTGCCGTTGGTTTTGGGGGGGAGGGCCTCGGCGGCTCTCGAAGCTGCGGCCAAGCGTGGCTCGGAACACGGGGCAGGGCAGCGCCTGGGAGGACTCCAAAGATGGATTTAGAACGACAGTGAAAGAAAGTCGAAGGCAGGCGGAGCTGGTGGAGGAGCAGGGCTTGGCACCGGGGGAATGCCTCGACGGATGACTTCGACGTGTCCACGGCTGGGTCGAGCCGAAGAACTGGAAACGACGGCGTCCCGAAAAGAGATCTGGGCACCTGCTTCGAGCGAACATCCAAAAAGGAGGAAGAGGAGCGACCGCGCCGGATGAATTCGGGGAGAAGGGTAGGAGGAGGAGGAGGAGGAGGAGGAGGAGGAGGAGGAGGAGGTGGAGGAGGACGAGGAGGAGGATCCCACACCACTGAGGACCGCTCCCGTCACACCAAGGACCGCGGGCGGCGGGGCCACTCGAAGCCTCGTCGACGGGGGCGGCCTGCTTCCCGCGGTTGCAGTCGAGAAGGAAGCCGTTGCCTGTGTGAGGGAGGACGGCGACGACGGTGCCGCCGAGGTCATTGTGGTCCTCGGATGGCCGTGAGGACCGCTAGAACCCGAATCGGAGTAGCAGCACCATCAGATTCGACCTCAGCCTGCGCCACCATCATCGCATGCTCACCCATCACGTCAGAGGGGGGCGTCCATCTCGTCCGTGCTGCCGACCTGCACCAAGAGCTCCGCATGCATGTCCAGAATGCCCGTGAGCGACAAGTCGTCGCTCGGATCAGCCAGGACTGCCATCATCAGCATGTTGAGCGCGCCCGAATAAGTGATAGGCAAGCTACCATGTCCACAGAAGTCAAGCAAGGCTAGACCGCCAGCGTCCCCACCATTGCCGCTGCTCAAACCCGTATGCCCAATAGAAAACGGCAGATAGGCACCAGCACGGCCCGCGGCATCCGCAGGAAAGGCAACGCCCAGCTGAGTGTCCCCCGCAGGTGGACCACCAGAATGCTCTGCACAAGAAGCGTTGAGGTCGACTCTGGTAGTTGCACCAACCCATCGAAGCTTACACCATTGTCATAGACGAGCGTCTCGAATAACCTGGGGCCGACATGATCATGTAAGCCAAGGTACCTACTTGGCGGACCACGGGGCTGACGCGGAGCGTCACCAACTGGAACAAAGTCCGGAAAACCTGCGTCACTGGATTCAACAACGGGGGCCGACGGTCTGCCATCTTACGTGCCAAAAACACCCACACCGCGTGGTGCAGCAGCGGGTAACGGAACTGGATCACCTACGCTGCCCGCTGGCCACGACCCCGCGCTCTCGGTATCCATTGCCGTGTCCGCTGGACAAAAACTGTTGAAGTGGTAGTCGTACTCGCCGTCAGGCATAGCATCGTCTTCGAAGTGAGCAGCTCGGAGCAAGGTCAACCCGACATCCCCCATGAGTTCTGCCATCGCCTCAAGGTCAGCTTCGGTGGGAGACGGGACTCTCGGCGCGCCAAGCTCACGAGCCCTCCTGAGCGACGAAACTAATGGAGAGCGCGAAAACGAGCCACGCGAGGAAGGAACTGAGCGCAGCTCATCCGGGTCGGAGTTCAATTTTCCCACAGCGCGGGGTATTTCTTCAAGCGCGGCTCGAAGCCTGGGACTCGCATCAGCAGGGCGTGGAAGAGCAAGCACGTCCGCAATGCGCCTGAGATAAACGCGCACGCTGGTCGAAGAGCATTCTCGATGGATCTGAAGCCCACTGGAGTCTAGCAGTGTGAGCCAGTGCGTTCTGCCGCGCCAGCAGTATCATACCTAGGAGAGTCCATGTCAGGCCGCTGCACGTCAAGATGGCGACGCATTTGCTCGCGCAGAAACTGATGCACACCACGATGCCAAGAAGGTTTCTTCAGCTACGCGCCTGCGCCTGTCGACACCACGTCTCGACGCCTCGCCGACCACCGGCGTGAGTTCCTGATGGCGCAAGAGCCAACACACCAGTCCGAACACGTGTAGAAGTTGCCGACCTGCTCTGCACAGTGAACTGATGGGAGCCACATGGTTGCCCATGTAATGGCGCGGCCCGTGAGCTCCCTGCGAGATCGCTCAGCTCTCCGAGTGGGCTCGTTTTCGCCTGAGCCCCTCACACCCGCGTTAAGGGGCGTCCGACTTGGCACTGCGGAAACCACGAGGACACTGGCCACAGGGCGGCCACCAAAATAAATCCTCGAGTTGCCCCCCCCCGCGCTTCCTTAGCAACACAGGCAAGAACCCCTAACTTAAGTGCAAGCACTGTTTGGCAAATGATACCCTTGCGGCAGAACCCCTGAGCAGCCTCACGCAGCCACGCTGGGGGGGGGCCACGATGGGCCGCCGATTTCGGTGGCCCGGGCTCCCTCACTGGGCGTTCGAAACAAGCCACGGAACCCTTACTGACATGCTGCTCGGCGAGAATCCTCAGCCCTCTCCGGTTCTAGACAAGCGCGTTCCGCTACTCGCAACTTGACTGCTCGCAAATGGCCTGGATCCGCCGCGGGGGATGTACGATCCATCACATCGGAGGACACATGTCTTTGTATGTGTCGGCCGTTTGCGAGTAGGCACTTTGCGAGTAGAGGATAGCGCTCGGTTCTGGGAGACGAAGGACTCGAGTACGGGGAACTCGGGTTGGCCTGACGGGGCCATCATGAAAATGACGAGACTCAATCTGAAATTTGACGCGAGCTCCCGCTGCAAACATCCCACGAAAATAGGACCGCCAAAATCCAGGACGCGCTCGTCAAAAAATGTCGGCAAACCCGCGTTCCGGCTTACTCGAGTCTTACGCTTCCCCGATCGGTGAGATTCTCCCCCCCCCACCCGGCCCAGCGGGAAAGGCCTTGAGCTCCTCGCTGCTGGGGTCCAGCGTCGCCGCGCACCCGTACTCGGTCGCCGCGCGTTTCAGGGCCCCCAGGCCGCACAGCAGGTCGCCCCGCACCTCGCCGCCGTCGTCGGCCGTCGTCGTCGGCCGCCGCCTGTCGTCGGTCGTCGTGGGTCGTCGTCGGTCGTCGGTCGTCGCCCGTCGTCGGCCGGCGGTCGGCTGTCATCGGGCGTTGTCGGTTGCCAATCGTCGTCGTCGGTAGTCGTCGCTCGCCCCTCGTCGGTCGTCACTGTCGACCCTCTACTCCTCATCCTCATCCTTTCTTCCTGCTCCTCGCTCTCTTTCTCTCTCTCTCTCTCTCCCTTTTCCCCGTCATCCTTCTCTTGCTCCTACCTCTCCGCATCGTCATCCTTGTCTTTCCTCTATTCCTCCGTCGTCTCCTCCTCCTCCTCCTCCTGCTTCTCCTCCTCGTTGTCCTCCTCACACGCTCCACCTTCTCTTCCATCCCGTAGAGGATATACCTCTCTCTATATATATAGATATAGATATGTATTCACACATATTTGTGTGTATGTATATATATGTACATATGAAACAAATGGTTCCTCCTCATTCGAATCAGCATCATCCTTCTCCCGCTCCTCCTCTTCCTCCTCCTCCTCCTCTTCCTCCTCCTCCTCCTCCTAATCATCCTCATCCCCGTTATGATAGAAAGGTAATTTTCTCCATCGCCATAGGGTCCCCATCCTGCTTCTCCGTCTGCCATCGTGTTGTTCTTCTCCTTGGCCTAATCTGTATCACCGTTATCCAGCTCCACCTCCTCCTCCTCATCCGCCTCTTCTTCTTCCATTCTTGCTTGTCCCCCAACTCCTCCATGTCTGTTGTCTCCTCCTCCCTCCTCCCCCTCCTCCTCCCCCTCCTCCTCCTCCTCCTCCTCCTCCTCCTTCTCCTCCGTTCTCTCCTCTGCTTGTTATCCTCCATACGCCGCCCCTTCTCCTAATCACAATCCGCCCCTGTAACTCCCATCTCGGAGGTAGAAGCCAATTGGATGCAGCTTTCCCCTGTGAAGCGTCGTAATGGCCTCTTCTCCTCTCGCCTCCTTTCGCCCAAGGTCTACCCCCAAGGCTGTTGGAAGTTCTCTCCTGTTCCTTTTCCTCCTCCTCCCTACTTCTGGCGTGGTGGACCATGGGACTTCTTGGGGCCTCCCGGAAATGCCGGAGGCCTCCTGGGACTCCCATGGGCCTCCGGGACTGCCCTTCGGCCTCCTTGGGCCTCCCGGTGCAACCTGCGGCCTCCTGGGACTTCCTGTGGCCTTCTGGCACCTCCGAGGGCCTGCTGTGTTTCCCAGTGCCTCCCGGGGCGGCATGGGAGCCCCCTGGGGTGTGTTCCGGGTGCTCCCACTGCCTTCTGGGATCTCCCCGGGGGGGGGTCCTGGGACCTCGCGGGGCCGCCTGGGGCCTCCCGGGGCGTCCTGCGGCCTCCTGGGTCCTCCTGCAGCTTCCTGCGGCCTCCCGGGGCCGTCGTGGCGCCTCCTGGCGCCGCCTCAGCCTTCTGAGGCTCCCCACTTCCTAGTGCTTCCTGCATCCTCCCGCAGCCCCGGATCCCTGGTGGCCTCCTGGGAGCGCCTGGGGCTGCCTGGTGCCTCCCGGGGTTTCCTGGGGCCTCCTCGGGCTGCCCGGGGCTTCTGGCCCAGGGCATCCTCCCAGGACACCCCGCGGCGCCCGAAAGAATCCGCTGCAGACTGCGGCCCCCCACGGTGCTGTGAGACGTGGCTTCCCCGGACCGCTCTGCGGGGCCTCAAGAGTGACGGCAGTTTCGAGGCTGGGATCCCCCCCGTTGAGGAAGGTGCCTCGGTGAAAGTTTTGAGAAAAAGAGGCAGTGTCACTCTGGAGGCCCCAAACCGTGCCGGGCAGACCGCGGCGCGAAGCCCGGTCCCCGTGGGGTACAGTGCGATTTGCCCTCCCCCTGGTGTCCCGCCAGACCCCAGGAGGATGATTTTGATCGCTTTCGCTAGTAAGAAGCACTTCCCCCCCATTCGGCGGTGACGGAGGGTAGGCGGCGGGGGTGGGCGGGTTGGCGGAATGGCCATCTAGGCTGAATGGCTGGTGGCGGGGTGCCAGGACGATTGGTTTGGCTGGGTGGCTGATTGGAGGGTTGGCTGGGTAGAGGTGGCTGGTTAGGCTGTCTGTTTGGTTGTAGGGTTGGCTGGGTGGCGGGGTGGCTGGCTAGGTTGGCTGGCTAGAAGGATGCGTTATGTTGGCAGGTTGAGTATGTGAGCGTTTTCTTCTTCGGCGTTTCGACATTGGACGGAAGGGGGGGAGGAGGGGGGCCTGGCTTCGGACCTCTGCTTAGTGCGACTGTCTGGAACCGTGCGTCCTCTCAGCCCAGATCCACTCCAGGGGGGGAGGGGGGGGTGCGCGAGGACCCGCGCCGATCGGCAAAACAATTAATACGAAAGCGATGACTAAGGCAACCGGTTTCGAGTCCTATTTCCTGTTTCTGTTCCCCCTCTTCCTGCTCCTCCTGCACCTCCTCCTCCTCCTCCTCCTCCTCCTCCTCCTCCTCCTCCTCATCATCATCATCATCCGCCTCCTCCTCCTCCTCCTCCTCCTCCTCCTCCTCCTCCTCCTCCTCCTCCTCCTCCTCCTCCAGGGGTGGGCGGATTGGCGGGGTGACGGGATGGCTAGTCAGGCTGGATGGCTGATGGCGGGGTGCCAGGACGATTGGTTGGGCTGGGTGGCTGGGTGGAGGGTTGGCTGGGTGGTAGGGTGGCTGGTTGGGCTAGCTGTTTGGTTGGATGGGTTGGGATGGGGTTGGCTGGGTGGCGGGGTGGTTGGTTGAGCTGGGTGGCTGATTGAAGGGGTGGCTGGGTGGCGGGGTGGCTGGTTAAGCTGGCTGGCAAAGGAGGATGCATTACGTTAGCAGGTTGAGTAGGGCATTCCTATTACTTGTTCCTGTTCCCCATCCTCCTCCTTCTCCTCCTTCTCCTCTTCCTCCTCTTCGTCCCCTCTTCCCAGCTCTCTGAGCCGCGGCGCTTTGAGCTTCTTACCTCAGGGACGCGTCGGCCACCACCGCCCTCTCCCTTTTCGGTGGCCCTGGCGAGGTTAGGGGAGAGGGTGCCGAAACGCGCCCAGAGTCCAGCAAGGCATGAGGGTGCAAACCCGACTTGTCTGGCTGATGCTCTGTGGGGGCCTGTGCTCAGGGGAGGCTGCAGCACCGCTCAACGATGTGCTGTTTAACCGAACCTGCAGGGTGGGCCCTTTCCCGAATCCGTGCTTCGGTGCGGATCGTCTGCGCGCCTCGTCTCCGTCGTCGTCGTCGTCGTCGTTGTCGTCGGCGCCGTCGTGGTCGTGGTGCGTGTTGCTCTGGGGCTTGTTTCCCTTCTGCAGTGACAACCCCCACAACCCCTCTTCGTCCTCCTCCTCCTCCTCCTCCTCCTCCTCCTCCTCCTCATCATCATCATCATCATCATCATCATCATCATCATCATCATCATCATCATCATCATCACCGCCACCATGATCATCAACAGCAGCAGCAGCATCATCACCATCACCATCATAATCATCATCAGCAGCATCATAATCCTCCACATCATCATTATCAACATCATCATGAGCATAATCATCATCGTCAACATCATCAACACCATCATTATCATCATCAGCAGCATCAGCATCAGCACCATCATCATCATACTCATCGGCATCATCATCATCAGCATCACCATCAGCATCAGCATCATCATCATCAGCATCATCGTCATCACAAGCACCCTCATCAGCAGCATCGTCTTGATCATGCTCATCATCATCAGCAGCATCATCATGATCGTCATCATCATCAGCAGCAGCATCATCTGCATCGTCATCTTCATAACCATCCTCACCAGCATCATGATCATCACCAGTATAATAGTATATTGACATCAGCACCAGCATTTAGCATCATCAACATCGTCACCATCCACAGCATCATCCTGATCATCACCATCATCAGCATCATCATCAGTATCGTCATCATCGTCATCATCCTCGTCATCATCATCATCATCCGCATCCGCATCCGCATCCGCATCCTCATTTGCATCATCATCCTCATCCTCATCGGCACCATGCTCAGCATCAACATCATCAGCACATCATCGTCAACAAAATGAGCATCATCATCATCACCAGCATCATCATCATCATCATCATCATCATCATCACCGCCACCATGATCATCAACAGCAGCAGCAGCATCATCACCATCACCATCATAATCATCATCAGCAGCATCATAATCCTCCACATCATCATTATCAACATCATCATGAGCATAATCATCATCGTCAACATCATCAACACCATCATTATCATCATCAGCAGCATCAGCATCAGCACCATCATCATCATACTCATCGACATCATCATCATCAGCATCACCATCAGCATCAGCATCATCATCATCATCAGCATCGTCATCACAAGCACCCTCATCAGCAGCATCGTCTTGATCATGCTCATCATCATCAGCAGCATCATCATGATCGTCATCATCATCAGCAGCAGCATCATCTGCATCGTCATCATCATAACCATCCTCACCAGCATCATGATCATCACCAGTATAATAGTATATTGACATCAGCACCAGCATTTAGCATCATCAACATCGTCACCATCCACAGCATCATCCTGATCATCACCATCATCAGCATCATCATCAGTATCGTCATCATCGTCATCATCCTCGTCATCATCATCATCCGCATCCGCATCCGCATCCGCATCCTCATTTGCATCATCATCCTCATCCTCATCGGCACCATGCTCAGCATCAACATCATCAGCACATCATCGTCAACAAACTGAGCATCATCATCATCACCAGCATCATCATTGTCATCCGCATCATCGCAAGCATCATCATCATCATCACCATCACCATCTCCATCACCATCATCATTATCATTATCAGCAGCCGCAGCAGCAGCGGCAGCAGCAGCATCTTCTCCATCATCATCAACGTCCTCCCCCTCGTTGTCCACCTCCTTTCTCCCGCCATGCGCCTCGTACATCTTGCGCAGGGCAGCCTTCTGCTCGGCCGACAGCTTGGGCATGGTCTCGGCCAGAAACTCGTTCGGCTCTTTCAGGATCTTGGAGCCGGAGCCGCCCACCTCGAAGATCGAACAGGATCGAGGAGCCCCTGAGCCATATCAGTATCGATCAGGATCGGGGAGGCCAATGATCGATCGTCTTCGAGGAAGATTGAGGAGGATCATCATCGATCCCCCTCGAAGATCGAGGAGGATCGGGGAGCGCCAAAGAATGATTGAGCGCCTGGGCCTCCAAAGGCCTCCCCCGAGGCTTCGGGGAGACCCCACAACACCTCCCGGGACTCCTGCAGCAGCTGCTGCAGGACCTCCAACAAACACTTACCCGATAAAAGTACCTGTATACGGTGAAGGCATTTTCAACTCTTCGCAGGCGCAGGGCGCCCTTGTCAAATTCAAGCGTACATGGCGCGGGTGGGGCACCCAGGAGCGAGCACTCAAAGCCATGGCTCGTCCTCCTGGGGCCCGCCGTCCCTGCGCCCAGCTGCCGCGCGCTTCGACGGTGAAGGCATTGGATAAGGAACCACTGGATGAGGAATCCAGGGCATGGGAGCCCGCGGAACTCACATCGTGGAGCGACCATGGGTACACCGCCGCCCTCATTGGATAAGGAATCCTCCAGGGTCTGAAGCCTCCTAGGCACATTCCTTAACGAACGCCCCCACCGTAGTTTCAGCCCGCGCCCCAGAGCTCTTCACCCCTTTCGCCGGGGGAGGTCTTAGTGCAATTGCTCCATCCCCAAGCGATGCTTGAATTGACCGTCCCAGGGCCCGAGAACGTCCCGCGAAGTCTGAACCGAGGACGACCACCAGGGCAGAAAAGTTGTCATGTCTGTTTCGCGGCTTCTATGCCTTCTCTTCTCCAGCGCCAGGGCAGAACATTCCGTCCGCCCAGCGTCCGGGGGTCGGGGTCCTGGGGCCAGGAGCCCCCCCACCTCGGCCTCGAAGAGCTCCATGCACTGGTTGACCTTCTGCACCCCGTCGAAGTGCTTGGCGCCCTTCAGCAGGGCCTCGGCCTCCGAGAGCAGCGGCTGCCAGCCCTCCGACATCCCTCGAGCGCCAGGGGGAGGGCGCGCGCCCGGCCGGCAGCTTCTGGTCAGAGCGCTCGGTGAGCCGATGGGGCTGGAGCCGGAACGGCGAGGCACCACTGGAGGCCCCCAAGATGGGGACGACGACGACGACGACGACGACGAAGACGACGACGACGACGACGGCGACGACTACCACGAGGGCGCTTCTGGGCCAGCCGCCTCCGAGTAGCCCTGCTGCCTTCCGTGTCGGAGGATCGCGCCGCATCGCCAATGCGTCGCCGATGCGCTGGCGACGTCGGCGATGCACTAGCGCCGCCAGCGTGGAGAAGGTCGGGCTCCACACCGAGCCGCATCGCCGATGCATCGGCGATGCGGCGCGATCCTCCGACCCCGCCTCCTCGGACCTGGTCTAGGAGGCCTAGAACCACTGCTGACACACGGCAAGGCTAAAGCCCAGGGGTGAGCACGGACAGGTCCAGAGAAATAGCCTGGGCTGGCCTCTGCGGGCCAAGCAGGGCAGTCTCTGGCACCGGCCTTCGTGCGGCGACGGCATCCTTCTCGCGCGGGGCCTGGGCCGTCTTCATGCGGGGGCCTGGGCCGTTTTCGTGCGGGGGCCTGGACCGTTTTCGTGCAGGGACCTGGGTTGTTTCTGGGTTGTGCCCTGGTCGTGTTCGTGCGGGGCCTGAGGCGGCGGGAATCGCTTCTGATGGGACCAGGGTCTTCCTCGCGCGACGCAAAATAATATTCTTTCGGTGCAACAATCGTGTGCGGAGCCAGCATTGTTTTTGCACGGGGCCAATGCTTTTTTATCAGCGGGGCATGGTCGTGTTCGTGCGAGGCCTGGGTTGCTTTCGCGTGGTCCTGTGTAGTTTGCGTTCAAGGCCAAGTCACTGTTGTTCGAAGCCTGCTTAGTTCGTTTCGTGCGGGGCCCGCGTCGTTGTCGTGCGGGGCCGGGGCAGTTGTCGATCGGTGCCTGGGCAAACCCCCTAACAAAAAGAACAATAGTAAAAGCAGGTGCATGGGTGATGGGAGAAGGATGGAACCAGTAATCAATGTCCTCCTCTGGGGAGCATGAGGGTACCAGGGAATGCTGCTTCCCATTCTGTTCAGAAGTGTCGGAATCATGGGATGCACGATCCCCTCTGAGGGTTGTGTGAAAGCGCCCCAAAGTTGAGGTCGAGGTCGTGATGTGTATGGTGTTGGTTGGGTTTACTCTAGAATTTGGGCCACCAGTCATACACTCCCGTCGGAAGAAGTAGGTAAAAATATGAAGTAGGAAGGCGGATCAAGTAGATTGGTTCAGGCCCTCCCTGCAAGACACAGCAGAAGCAGAACGGCTCTTGTAGGAAGGCGCTTGAAGTAGATTGGGATCTGGGAATCCAGAAATACCTACTTTCAACAACCAGCGTGTACTGGCAATGGCAGGCAGGACGACCCAGCTATCAGCAAAAACGCCCAAAACGATTCCTGGCAAGCACGCAGGCCTTCCTGCAGCTGCGCGGGAACTCGAGCAGAATCCGAGGTGCCCACGCCGGGCCGGGGAGCGGCACGACGAGGAGGTCGTCCCCCCTCTGCACGACGCGGGCTCTTCTTTCTCAGGGGGAGGGTCCTTGACGGTCCTTGGACACAGGCGCGACCCCCCAGGCCCTGGACCGTCAAGGATCCCCGCACCCCTCCCTGACGCTCCTCCTCCTCATCCCTCCTTCCTCATTTCTCGCCTCCTGCGCATCCTCCTCCTCCGCCTCCTCCGCCTCCGCCTCCGCCTCCGCCTCCTCGTCCTCTGGCGGCGCGTGCGGGTCTCGCACGCGGCTGGAGCACTGTGATCGGGAGCCAGCGCATTCCCTCGCGGCCACACAACACACACACACACAGCGAACCCGAAGATCCGAAGAGGAGGACCTAAAAGCGAACACTCAGAAGCCGCACGCGCTCAATGAGAACGGGAGGGAAGGGGAACAGGGAATGGGGGGGGCGGGAGAGGGACGGATAAGCACAACCCGAGCTCCTGTGCTCCTCATTTCTTACCTCCTTGTCCTCCTCCGCCTCTCTCTCTCTCTCTCTTGCAGCCGCATCTGCGGTCCCCTGCCCGCGCTTGCGCGCGCGCGGGCGGCCGCGACGGCCGGCCCTTCCGCGCGAGCACCGGGCCCCCCGGACGCCACTGGGGGACCGTGGCCGAGGGGGACGGGAGGGGAGGAGGAGGAGGAGGAGGAGGAGGAGGAGGAGGAGGAGGAGGAGGAGGAGGGGAGGAGGAGGAGGAGGGGAGGAGGGGGAGGGGGAGGGGGAGGGAGGGGGAGGGAGGCCACTACCTCACCTTCCCTATGGTGACCAGTCGCAAACGCTCGGAATTCCATTCCCCGCGCACTTTGTGCTGTTGCTGTTTCGCAGGATGGGTCAGGGTGCTCCTCGATGGCCCCTGCCGAGAAAGAACGCGCTCGTCCGAGCGATGCCCAGGGAAAGGGAGAGTGGGGAAAGCGGCGGTGCCGCTCAGAGGCAGGAGAGCTGCCTCCTCCTCCTCCTCCTCCTCCTACTCCTCCTCACTCCTCCTCCTCCTCCTCCTCCTCCTCCTCCCCTCTCCTCCTCCTCCTCCCCCTTCCTCCTCCCCCTCCTCCTCCTCCTCCTCCTCCTCCTCCTCCTCCTCCTCCTCCTCCTTCTCCTCCTCCTCCCCACCACCGCGGCCTGCTCCGCGGGGGTGGGCCCCTGCACGTCGGCCAGCTTCGGCGCGCCGGTGCCTAGAAGGCGGGGGCCTCCTCTGGGCGGCCGCCGCGGGGCGAAGGGGCGTCGGCGGCTCCTCGGGGGGGGGCCCTCTGGGAAACTTTCGAAGCCTTCCCCGAAGAGACGGAACGCGAACTTCTCGGAAGGCGCGAGGGCTGCTGAGAAGAAGTCCCGTCGCCTCCTGAGAAGGCCTTTTCCTTCTCACTCCCCCCCCCCCTCGCTGGCCGCCGAAAGGCTCCCACAACGACGCCGCCGCCGACGCCGCCGCCGACTCGCCGACGCCGACGACGACTCGCCGACGACGCCGTACTGCCACCGCCGACGCCGCCGGCACCGCCGACGTCGACGACGCCGACGACACCGATGCCGACGATGACTCGTCGACGCCAGCGACGGCGCCGACGGTGCCCCTCAGATCCTGGCGTTGCAATCTGCTTACAATGGGCGGTTTCGCCCGGTTTCGGACCCCGGGACCCTCGCAGATTGAGGCGGCTCGCAAAAAGACATAGAAAGATGGGGTCTGGTAGGGAACCGAACTCTATACACCGACGCTTTTTCGGGCCCTGCACTGAAACTCGCACAGGAAAACGGATCCTGGTGTAGACGGGATCCGTGTGTATTGCTTCCTCGGGAAAGCGGGGTAAAAGTATACACCACACCGCCCCGATGTCGTCCCCGACCCTACAGAAATCCGAGTACTGAAAAACAGCTCGCCACTGGTAAAGTATCTGCTCCAGTTTCCGATCTGGTGCTCTGGTAGTGGTTGTTGTTCGATGTTGCAACTTTTCTGCAACGTCGGATCTCAGGGGCCGCCAGCGCCGACGAAGACTCCTCGCCTCCTTCGCGCTGGCGCCGAAGACGCCGACGCCGACGACGCCGACGCCGACGATCGAGGTTTGCGAGCGTGGCTGCCTCTTTTGTGGCCTCCGGCTCCTGCGCATCGACCCGGTTTTCCGACTGATTCCGGGCTCACAAAGACAGCTCGGCCAGGGTAATTACAGGCCGTACGTCAAACGCCCGTCTGCACGAACCAAGTAAAGCTCAGGGCAACCCCATCCAACCCTCCCTCCTTGCGTCATCGTTACAATGTTTATCCTCCTCGGCGCCTTTTTCCGTCTCCTCCTCGTCTTCCTCCTCCCCCTCCTCCTCCCGGCCCCCCGCCTCGCCCCATCGGTCCTCCCATCGAAGCAACGGGGCCGGGATAGTCATGCCGCTTCCTTAGGAGACAGCTGTCCGACATGGCCAGGAAGCATCGCGCCAACAGCGATCGCGCCGCACCTGACCCAACCATCCCCACCTCCATAATTGATGCCGATATCTCTGGGCTTTCTCCTGCGAGAACACTCGCGATGCGCCGCGACCCACCCTCACCCCCCCAACCCGCCTTTTTAATGAATGCGGCAACGACCAGCATGGCCACCCAACACGAACGAACAGTGTGAGGGATCCTGGGTGCCCTCGCCAAAACAAGTCGCGAACAGGAGAGGGTGGGGAGGACGGGCAGGAGAGCGTTGGGGTTGATGAGAAAGGGGGGACGGAGGAAGGGGAGGACAGCGCTGGAGAGGGGGGGGGGGGCACGGGAGGAGAGGGGAGAGAGGAGGAGGCGGAGAGGAGGAGGAAGAGGAGGGAGAGAGAGGGAGGAGGAGAAGGGGAGGAGGAGAGGAGGAGGAGGAGGGGGAGCAGGAGGAGGAGGAAGGAGGAGGAGAAGGAGGAGGCGGAGTACCGGCGACGAGGAGCGAGAGATGGCCGCGAGGAGGGCCGACGGCGAGACCTTGACGCCCGAACTTCCGCGTGCTCCGGCAGGCCCCGAGGAGCTCCCCCGCCGAGCCCGCGCGCCGACACCTCGCCCGCGGCCGCGGGCGCCCGTCTCCGGGCGCTCGCTGTGCGCGGCCGCGAGGCCGCATCGGCTGGCGGCTCCCCGGTTCTCGAGCGGGAAGGCGCCCCGCCGGGCCGCGCTCGGGAGGCGCCCGGGGAGGGCGGGGAGGGGGGGGGGGGCTCTCAGCGAGGCGAGGCGCCCTCCTCCTCATTCTCCTCCTCCTCCTCATTCTCCTCCTCCTCCTCCTCCTCCTCCTCCTCCTCCTCCTCCTCGTTCTCCTCCTCCTAATTCTCCTCCTCCTCCTCCTCCCCTGGAAGGCCGCTCCGTCCGGGCCCGCCGCCCCCCTCGTCGCGCGCCGCCGTGCGGGCGCGGAAGCGAAGGGGGGCAAGAAACTGCTGCCCCGACACCGCGGCTCCCTACTATAGGGACCTCTCCCGGGGCGCCTCCTGGCCAGAACCTGGCGGAGGAGTCGGCCGTGGCGACGAGGGCCCTCGAGGACGAGCAGCGGCATCGGATAATCCGTCGCTCTCGGCTACACGCAAGAGTGACCCTGGGTAAGAGTGATCTTTGGTCCCAGACCCCCTCGAGTCATGAAAAAATCACGACGGAGGTTTTTCATTACTTTTCGGCCTCTGGGGGCCCTTCCCGGCCCTCGGGATCGTAAAAAACGACTCGGGACGAAAAACAGGTCCTGGGGAATGGGTCCAGACATCTGGGGGTCGCGCATTGAAAAAAAATCATGACGTCGAGGGTCCGGGGTGCGCGGCTTCTTGGGAGCCCCGAGGGGACCAAACACAAGCGCGCAAGATGCCACTGTGGCTTCGCGTCCAGCCATCCAGGGACCCCCTTGGCCCGCACCGAAGGTCACTCCGGCGAAGGGCCACTCTGAGGTCTGGTCGACCCTCTCTTGGAAAAGGGACGACCTGCCAGCGCACGAAAGAAAAATGAGAAACCCGGACCTCCGACGCTGTGTTCTGTGTCTTCCGTCCGCGACCACAGGCCTCCCGACCACTTCCCCCCTCGGCTCCACGCAAGAGTGACCCTGCGTAAGAGTGACCTTTGGTGCGCGGCTTTTGGGGGGCCGCGGGGGTACCAAACTCAGGCGCGCAAGACGCTACTATCGCATCGCAATCGGTGATCGGGGGACCCCAATTGTGCCCGCACCAAAGGTCACTCCGGCGACAGGTCACTCGTAAGTGTAGTCGACCCCCCGGGGGCCCGCGGGCACTGTCTCGCCCCGGACTCGTTCTCGATGGCCCCCCCACAGGGCCGAACAAAACAGAGCCCCAGGAGGCCGCAGTCGACGGAAAACGCCTGGACTCGGACAAAAGCAGCAGGGATCGCCCTGAACAGTGTTTTTCGTTTTCGTGTTTTGTTTTCGTTTCTCCCTCGTTTTGCCTGCACTCCGCCTTAAGATGCAAAACGACATCGAAACGAAGACGGCCCACGAATAGCCAAAACACCGTCTCGGTCGACCCCTGAAAAGAAGGCCGCCGGAGATCTGGGCGCGCGGCTCGCGCGCGCTGCGCAGCAGCCCTGTACTGCCGTCGCTGCGCTGAGGCGCGAAGAGCGAGCCGAGACCCGTTCGGCGCTCGCCGAGCAATGCCAGAGTTAGGTCGGGCATGTCCTCCTACAGGCGGATGTTGGAAGAAACATCAAACATGACCGGAACAAATGTTAAACAAATCGCCGGCCCAACGTGCCAGAGGCGTGATAAAACTCTGGTGACAGCTTTAGAATGTTGAAACTTCGCGCGCGCGCGGGGCGGCCCTGGAGATCCCTGGACGAAAAAAAAACGCGATGGATACCCGGCAGACTCCAGATCTCCAGGGCGCGGTTCTGGCGGCTCCTGGATGGCTCCAAGAGCGCCCCAAAGAGGTTCCAGAGGGCTCGGGGTCGCACACAGATCGCTCCCAGATGTCTACGATGGCCTGCAGACGGCCCCACAGGCCTCCAGAATGTCCAAGAAACCTCCAAGACGCGTCCGGAGAGAGTCCCAAGAAGCAAAATTCGTTCCATCCCCCTCACAAAAACGTGAAAGTTTACCCGATCCGCCTCCCCAGCCTTCGCAATGTCCACGACGGCCAAAGAGGCTAACAAGAACGCCCCAAGACAGCCGAAGAGGCCCCCAAGAAGGCTCCAAGACAGCCCCAGGGAGCCTCAAGACGGCTCCAGGACGCCCCAAGACTGGCCAAGACGGCCTCCAGACTGCGCTAAGAGGGGCCCCAGAGGAGGAACCAAAACGGACATTTCGAACCTGCGGCCACCAAACACCCCGAAGCCCCCGAATGCTTCCGGGAGGCCCCAAGAAGCTCCAAGAGACGCCTCCGAAGAGAGCCCCAAGAGGCACAAATCCAAAACGGCCAAAGAGGCTCCCAATACCGCCCCAAAACAGCCGAAGAGGCCCCCAATAAGGCTCCAAGACAGCCCCAGAGAGCCTCAAGACGGCTCCGGGACGCCCCAACACTGGCCAAAACGGCCTGAGGACTGCCCCCAGAGGGGCCCAGAGGGACCGCGAACCTTCGGCCCCCAAACGCCCCGAGGAAGCTCCCGGAAGCTTCCGAAAGAGGCCCCGAGAGGCTCCAAGAGACGCCTCCGAAGAGAGCCCCAAGAGGCACAAATCGTCCATTCCCATCGCATAAACTAATTATATGTTTACAGTTTCGCCTCCTCAGCTCTCGCCGCGTCCAAGACGGCCAAAAGAGGCTCCTATGATCGCCCCAAGACAGCCGAAGAGGCCCCCAAGAAAGCTCCGGAATAGCACCAGAGAACCTCAAGACGACTTAAGGAGCCCCCACAAGTGGCCAACGCGGCCAGAGGGGCCCAGAAGAGGAACCAGACCAGAAATGTCGAACCTTCGGCTCCCCCACGCCCCGAGGAAGCTCCCGGGAACTTCCGAAGAGGCCCCAAACGGCTCCAAGCGAACCCACAAGAGCCTCACAATGCTCTCACACATCCCCCATGGAGACCCCCCAATAGCTGAAAAAACTATATCCGCAACGTTTCCGGGAAACCTTCCACGAGACTCTATCAACAATCCGGATTTTCAAGCACAACATCCAGGCACGGTGGCTGGATAGGCCGGCGGCCACTCACAGGTGCCACGCCCCACGGCCTCACGCCAAACGCGCTCCATGTTTGACGACGCCTCTTCTTCCGTTTCCTCCTCCTCCTCCCCCTCCTCCTCCTCCTCCTCCTCCTCCTCCTCCTGCTCTTCGAGTGGCCTCAAACACACAGCCCAAGCACCGTGGCGGGATGGGCCGAACGCCAGTAGTAGGCGTCAACGCCCACGGCCCGCGGCCTCGCGCCAAGAGCGCTCCAGGCGGGACGGAGCCTCCTCCTCCGTCTTCTCCTTTTCCCCGTCCTCCTGCTCCTACTCCACCTCCTCCTCCTCCTCCTCCTCCTCCTCCTCCTCCTCCTCATCCTCATCCTCATCCTCATCCTCATCATCATCATCATCATCATCATCATCATCATCATCATCATCATCATCATCATCATCATCATCATCATCAGCATCATCATCATCATCCACCTCGCTCTCCAATCGTCGGAACGGAATAGTTACGCCACGGGCAAGTCGCGCGCAGACTGCCCGCCGCTTGGGCCCGTTGAAAGGGCTGCCACTGGGGCGGCACCAGAATAAACAACAATGGTTCGCGCCTCCTCCTCCTCCTCCTTCTCCTCCTCCTCCTCCTCCTCCTGCTCCACCTCCTTCTCCTCCTCCTCCTCCTCATCCTCCGCTTCCTCCCCCCACTCCTAGCTCTTTCGATCAGGGTCGGCGGCACCAGCCGTCAGGCCTCTCGAATAAACAACAATGGTTCGCGCACCTGCGCGATGCTGACGCATGGGCTGAGCGCAAAAGCTCGGTTGCCAAAGGAGCACCATTCACGCGAGACGCAGTCGCGCATGCCTCCGCCCTTGCGCCGCGCGTGCCTCGTTGCATTCGTCGCCCCCCTTGCGCGCGCGGCCGCTGTCCGCGCGGTGCGCCAGCGCCTCGTTGCCGAACGTGGCACGCCATGTGCGCGCATTCGGGTTGCATATGTAGTGGGCGTGCCACGAACAGCGGCATGATGCCCGTTGCCAATGTGCGACATGAGCTTGGCACGTCGCCATCGTGTAGAACGGGCACGATCTGTGCCATGGTATTACCACGTTGCTAGTACACGCCTCGCTGCATTTTGTGCTTCCGCCAAAAAAACTTGAATTTTATGGCTCAAAGCAAGCGTCGACAGATGGGCTACGCCCGTGCCACGGAACGCGTCGCGGGCAATGTGACTCACAGTGCAAGACAGCTTTAGCTGTTCGATTGGATATTGACGGGGCGCATAACCACGCGCGCCGAAAGCGTCAGGGCAAGATTGGCTTGACCTGAAAGTTGGCCCACAATACCATCTTGACTGGAAATGCTTTGCAGGGGAAGCAACTTGACTGGCGTGCCCTTGCCGCCCTGCTCCGTGCCCGATCTATAGACTCCTGCGACTTCAGACCGCCAGGCGCTTACACTCTGTCAATTTTCCTGAAGGGCCCTGGGAAGTCCGAAAGAATCATCTGGGATGGCGCGGGGCCAAACGGAAGTTGGCTGAACCTGAGAAGGCCCGAGGGGGTCGTTGAGAACCTGGACGAGTCAAAACGGATTCCTGAAATACCCGGGAGAAATACTGGGAATTCTGAGGAACCCCGAGGTGACCTGAGGCCCCAGCGGGATCTTGCGGAGCACGGTGGAATTCAACGGGATATCCAGAACTCCTGAGGAATCCCGAAGGAGTCCTGGGGGGCCTTCAGAAATCTTGAAGCGCCTTCGAGAATCCAAGTGCACCCCGACGGATCTTGAAGAACCTTGAGAAGAAATGGCACGGAGCCTACAAAAGAACTTGGAATCCAGACGAATCCCGAGAAAGGAAAGCAAGCGCGCGGCGGAGCGGGATCCGAGCGAGAATCGGCGATGGCCAACGTAAACTACAGCATAATATGCTGAGTCAAAGTGGAAGCGCAGTGCAATCATATTCGAGTCGGAGCACCTGAGAAAGACATGTCGAACAGGCTTGATGAGGTCGAAGCAACGAAACGTTAAGGGACTTGAATGTTGGTGGGCGGTGGTCAACGTAGGGCTGGGAGAAGATCCTTTAGTAAGATGCCCTCACAAATGAATAAGTGAGTAAAATTATTCATTTACTATGATTTTTTCAATTTCGGTGTAAACCGATTATGTAATCGCTTCTCTTTTCAGTTTCTACAACGCGGTCGAAGACGATGTTGAGTCCACGACTCGTCTCAGTTCAGACCACTGGTCGGAATTGCGCTCTTCTTACGCTCAGCCGCCTTCCCTGCTCCCCCCGAAAAAGACCCCAAGAGGCATCCATGATGACTTTGACCCACAAGCCATGTGTTTCTCGAAATTATGCTGGAGCTCTCTTGAGCAGTCTTGACGCCATCTGGGGCAGTCTATCGGCTCTCTTCGGCAGGGTGCGAGCCACATCTCCAAAGATTTCCTCGAAGACCGTCCTGCCTGCCCTACCGTCGTTCCCCCTGGGCACGAGAACACCACCACGCAGCCACAGTGATGCGAAATGGGCCGGCGGAGTAGGCGAAGCAAGCGTCAAGAGACGAGCAATCGCACGAGACTGTCTGTTGCCTACTCTTGGATGCTCCTCCTGCGAAGTGAGCGAAGCAGCCACAGAAATGCGAAACGAGCACGAGCAATCGTCACGAGGCTGTGTGCTGCCTACTCTTGGATGCTCCTCCTGCGGAGGGACATGCCCGACGTCATGCCAGAGGCGGGCGCCGGCGGCTCGGGCCGGTGGCCGGGCCCCGGGGGGGCGCAGAGGCGTGCCCTGCACATCGCACGCCTGCGCTCGAGCGCCCCTCAGATCCAGGCGCTGCCGCACAAGCTTGGGCAGGGGGCCGACCGTCCCGGCATTCCGACAGGCCTACAGTCGGGGGCTTGACCCAAGGAGCCCAAAATAAGGAACGGGGCCCCTTTCTTCCACGAGTTACACTTCGACTTCCGATCGAAGACACAAGGAAGACCTGAGGCAAGCTGCGAAACACTTAAGGGACGCGGAGCCCCTCCCCAACGAAAAGGGTTCCTTCTTCAGGGCCCCGACTGTAACTCGACATGTTCTCAGAACCCCAAACATGTTCGAAGAACTCATACAGGGCCCTCAGAGCATAGGCCCGACGTGTTAACACAAGACCGCCCCAGTCAGAAATGTTCTCTAAGAACATTTCGTGCAGGCCACGTTCTGGGAAAATTGCCTGGTGGGCCGATAGGCAAGCCGCTATCGCCACTGCTTGAACACATCGCCACGGCCAGATTGTCGTCGCTGTTGGCCTCTGGAGTAGGTGGCCACATGTGAATCCTACCCCCACCCCCACGACTTCTAAGGGGGGTGGGGGTTCACTCCGCTCGGAAGCTCCCGTACGACGTTAACCCCCAGCCCCCCTTAGAAGTCGTGGGGGGTGGGGGTAGGGTTCACATGTGGCCCACGATGGAGGCCATGTCCCGGCCCCGGGGCCCGTCAAAGAAATCTGCTCTGGATGAAGAGCCGGCCGCGGGGAAGTGGCAAGCTCAGTCAGCATCGAATCGGTACGTCCGCCGACTCTTCGGTGCGTGTGAGACGCTGTCGTCGTCGTCGTCTT